CTGCGCACGTCGGCAAGGCTCGGCCCTGAGGTCGGCGGCTGCCTCGCTGCTTGCGGAGGCACAAGCAGGCGAGCGTCACCGAGCGCAGCCTCATCAACCTCGCCCTGGGCAACGTTCTGCCCAAACCGCCCTGATGGCAGCGAGAAGGAGCGAGGAGCCCATGTGAAATGGCTGCGGGGCACGAGCAGGGCTGGGAGGCAGGTCCTGCGGCGGAGCGGGGCTGCGCGAGGACAGCGAGGCTGGGAGCTGCGCCGGCCCCGGGAGGCAGGACGGGACGGGGCAGGGTGCTGAGGACGCTCCTCAGCAGGACCACGGTGAGAAGGACACAGGCTAAATACTGACATATCGCCTCAAAGGATGGCCCAGCAGGAAAGACGCTGGCAGCAGAGCGCTCTGCACACACGAATTCTTACCTACAAGCCTCTCCTGGCAGGGGCACAGAGGGACAGGACCCAGAGGACTTCAGACTCAAGTGTGTCTCCTCTTCTGCCTGGTTACCCTTCTAACCCACTATTAGAGCTGCTCAGAGCAGGAAGAAAACAGAGACAGAGAGCAAGCGTGAGCAAGAAGGGGAAGAGGAAGCGGGGACAGCCCAGCCTGGGCCTCACAGGACATGTCCCGTGCCATACGGTGCCTAACGGGTCCTGGCTCTCCCACCTGGGGAGGGCTGGCACGTGACAACATTCCTCCCGCTCCGGCGCCCTGCGGCTCTCGCTGCACGTCCGCTCCGCGTGCCTCAGCCAAGGCGGGGGCCTGGACCGCTTCCAGCGGGGCCCCGGCACTGCCAGAGGAGCTTTGCTGGGTGCAGCAGCCTTCCCAAAGGAAAAGGAATATTGGCTCAGATCCCGCAATTGCTCAACCCCTGCTTTGTCGTGTTTTTAATGAATTAACCTGCAGAATTCCCACTGTCACCCTGTTAGACCAAGGTGAAATGTTCTTACCCTCGTATCCAGACTCACAGCAGCTTCAGCCTTCCTTCCTTCAGGGGAGTCTATCAGATGCTGCTGAGTTACCAGAGCAGAGAGGAAGAGCCACCTCTTTAATGTCACCCTGTCCTGGGCCAGGACAAGACTGTTCCCCCAGGTCCAGGAGGATGAGCAGCAGTGCAAGGGATGCAGTCCTCACCTCCACCAGAACCCTTCCTCCCGGAGATGGGCTGCTCTCTGCTCACACCGTGCCTGGCCCCTGCTAGGACAGCAGTTAGGATGCATCAGTCTGAAATCACCAAAGGCACAAATTCACACAACCACCTTGGAAAGATGTTTTATAGAAGAAATTTCTTTGAATAGGCAGTCTGATCCAAGCAAGAAATTGCCATAGTTAAATGCCAAGCCCAAATACTCTGCTCAGTTGGACCTGTAATGCTTGACCATCCCTGTGGGATGGATGAGGAGAACCTTGTTCAAGTCCCCTTGCTCCCCAAACAGAGGCTTCCCCCATCTCTTTGGATCACATTTTGGAAAAGATAAAATGGAAGGAAGCTAAGTGGGAGCTTTGGTAGGGGATTGACAGGCTGCTCAGCTTTTAGCTCTGCAAGGTAGGAGGGAGAAGACACTGTTCACTGTCAGGGAGCAGAAAAAACAATTACGGGGACCAGAGCGAGGTCTGTGGGGCCACCACTAAAGGTACCTCCTCACCTTGGTTGCCTGCTCAGATGAGCTGTAAGGAAGGGGTCTGCTCTGCAGCCACTGCAGCATCTCCCGTAGCCGGGGCACAGCTGCAGCCTCACGCCTGCTGCTTCCTGCAGTTTGGTGGAATTCAGAATAGCTATCAAACGCTCAAATAAAACTTAGCTATGCAACATCTGAACCACAAAGACCCCAGTTCTCTCACTCTGAGTTGCACCAGGTCAGCCTACTTGCAGGATGATGACTTCTTCCTCCCCCCGTCCCCCTTCCCATGCTTAGGGTACTATTTCTCCAGGGTGCTCCACGCAACACTCCTCACCTGATTTCTGTATTTCAGGAAACTGTCTAAGCCTATACATTCCAGATGATAAACTCTAGCTAGCAATTTTCTCCTTTTCATTAAAATTATTTACACTACAAGAACCTAAAACAAAAATCGATTTCAGAAGAAAGGAGGAGGAACAGACTAAGGACTCCTGGTTTCTGCTGCTTCTAAAAAGGCTTGCACTATGTTTATAAACTTGAGCATAACGTACATATTAAAAGGTAACAGTTACAGTATCCATCTTTTATTCGTGACCTTACAAGAAATAGAGCTTGTCAGGTAACAGCATTTCTGACATTTTGAAGCTGTTTTTCTTTCACCTTTGGGACAAAAAATAAAAAAAAATCTTTAAACATTTTGTTGAATGAACTTTCAAAATGGTGGTTTTAGAGACATCTAGCCAAACACATTTTTTTTGATAATGTTGAAGTTATATAAGACATTCCACTGATTCTTTTAAAAAAATAGAGTCAACATCTCTTCAAAGCATTTTTATGGTAAATGAAAATGCTCGCTTCTCCCACATGAAAACTCTAAGTTTTCTGAAGCTATGAGAAGGACTGAAGGGAGAAAAAAACAACCATCTTTTTGACTAGCTCTCCTTAGAGCCATTTGCAGGTTCTTGGAGATATTAACCTCGGAGGACACTTGTTTACTCTTTTCCAGAGCTATTGATTCTTAGACATCTGTGAAGCAGCCTATATCTGGCTCTCATGAGAGGGGCCCTTTGGAATTAAAGACGTGGACATGAGACTGCCTTTTGAAAGTCTCTGGGAAACACCACAGAGGAGGTTCAAAAAGCCACTTTCCTACACTCTGGAAAACACTGGGTTTCTAGTCAGCATCCAACTTCCACCAGCAAATGTTTAAGACCTTCAGCTGAGGGTGAGGGAGAAGCAAGAGGGCTACAAAAACATGTTACATGGGCAAGCAGCAACCAGCTCCCAGCCTTCGTCTTCTCACAAGTAAACAACAACTAGGTTTTTAAAAATTCTGTCTTGAAGTGATGTGAATCAAGCACATTTGCATCTTAAGCTTTTAAAAAATAACCTATTTCTAAATTTGAATGCAACACCACACACTAAGGCAAAAGCTTACATGTAATCTATTACCTAAATAAATAAATATATGCTCCTTCACTCCTCAGTCTTAATGGCTTAAGGGATGGGGAATTTTTAATAGGTAACAATCAGGAAGAAAACATCTTTAACTTCACAACATGGTTAATATTGTGGGCTACTTAAAATGTGCTGTGTCCTGCACTAAAACATCAGTCTTTAGACTGGAACAAAGGATGATTTTATGTATTTCAATACAAATATTTACATATTTTGTCATGAGCTTTTCTCCTAACAATACCAGTTCCAGTTCAGTTAACATATGCAGGGCAAGGTGGTCTTCATTTAGTCCAGCTCAGTGGGAACAGAAAAAGCAAAGGATCTTCCTCTTCTTGTTTATCCAATAAATTCACATCAACTGGGGAAGGATGAGACCTACAAGCTTAGAATCTTGCAGGAAAAAAAAACACCCATGAAACTTCCCAAAAGTCTGTAGGTACTAAATAATGTAGACAGTTGGTCTCATAGCTGCTATTTGGAAGTCCCCTTTACAACTCCAGAGTCTGCAGCTATGTTATGAAATCTGCCCTGTCGTGACCAGGATGTCACATTTATTACCATTTATTTATGCACCTAGAAATGCAAAACTGTTTGATAAGCTTACTTTTAAAATTAAAAAAAAACATTTTGTACATTTTAATTGTAATTTCATGTTCAACCAAATGTACCTCAAGGAAATTTGAGTTAAAAAATATCTATTTAAGGTAAGATACATTGTAAAAGTGAAAAACTAAGGTTCTGAACACAAGTGAGCTATGCCTTTGTTTAAATGCGTATTCCTTTACCATATCACCCTCGCCAGTAAGAAGTAGTGCCATATTTAATGCAAACAGCTATATTTGGATACAAATCATGTTTTAGCAATTATACTACCCAGCAAGAATGAACAACTCTGTAGTTTTTAATAAAACACATATGAGAAACAGGATCTTCAGTTTACATTTATTTTTATCTTGCTCATTCGTGCTCTCAAGCTACTTTGTCTTGTCTTTTTATCAGAGCAAAATAAGGATATGTTTGTCCCTACTGTAGCTTTACTGCTACTCCAACATCGAGTGATCCCTGACTTTCCTACCCCACTCAGAACCGAGAGCTCCCTCAGGAAGCCCTAGCTCAGGTGTTGGGCTTCCCTCATCGGCAAAGAAATAAGAGCATCAATATCGTAACTTGAGAAGTACTCCAAAACTGAGGGCTGGAGGATACTTACGGAGCTGGGGAGAAGTGGCACTACCATCTCCCTCCAAGCTGGAGGGCAGGGCCTGTTCTCCACCCGATTTGCTGTTTCTTGCTTCCTCGCAGATTCCTGTTTGCACCCACACAGTTTTGGAGACCTTGCTTTCTTCCTTCTTGATGCATCACCTGGACAAAGCAAGTACTCCTGGTACTAAAATGAGCCTGAGAAGCCAAAATTCCTCTCATTTTAAAGCCTAGCAAAGGCTCCAATTAACTCCCATGGGCAACAGACAGGCATGTTAAATCCACCTTGTTTCAGTCCTTAATCTGCCCCTTACTGCAGGGAGGAAAAGGTGGAAGAAGGGAGGAAAGGTAGAGAAGAAGAACCTAGCATGACAGGGCGACCTGGGAAACAAATGAACAAACTCCCATCAAAATACCCCTGTTATGGGCAGTAGCTCAGGAGCCTTCTGAGTGCCTTGCTCTTGCACTGACTCTGTGTTTTGTCAGATCCTGAAGGTATCCCCATGCCATCACCCTTAGTTCCTGCTCCCAGGCAGGCAAGACTTCACCACCTACCCTCTCCTCAGGCACCAGACACAGCAAGTGCTTAATTTTATCACCACCTTCAACAGAAAGTGTTACAATAACTCATGGAGGACATCGACTAATACATCTGGGGACATGGACCAGAAGGAGCTACCAGCAGCAAGGTCAGTATGGGCAGTGTTTTGCCCAACACACTCTTTGCAATTTTCCAAAGCAAAGCCTTCCCTCGAACTTCTCCACGCTTGGGAAAAGGAGAGTGCAGATTTCTGCCAAGCTGAGAAATCCCATTAGCGAACCAGATACGCAGAATAAAAAGTACAGAAGGGCAAAGCTATCGCAATGCAGTTTGCTTTCTGTCCACTGAGTGGATTAGCATAATTAATCAAGTATTTTGAAGTTTTTAGACTGGGAAGCAATGCCACCTAGTGAACAGGAGCAGAAGGGCACGTTGCTTTTCCTGTGAGACCAGAATAGGGTGGGACACCGAATGCAGCGAGCTGCCACGGAGAGCTCGCAGCCGTACTCGGGCACGTATCAACCCAGGTGTCCATCCACCAGCTGCCCCCCTCCACCTCTCAGCTACACAAACAAGTTCAAAGATATTTTAAGCAATGAATAATTTACAGAAAAAATGCACTTTGGGTAGACCTTGAATTTAAATTTTTGTTCAATGCTTTCTAAAGTGAAGAGATAGACAGCTCAGAAATGACAGAAGACTAAAATTAGAGATAGATCATACCGGCATTTATAAAGGTATTACAGAGAGAAAAGGCAGCACTGAAATTGTTACTAATTTTAGGCCAACGCCCGAGCAGGCAGCAGGGATTCAAACACAA